AGGGTAGTCTGTTTTTATATCTGCTGCCCTAACCTTAAACACTAGCTCGTGCACACTCAAGAGCTCAGGACTCTCCAATTTCAGGGCCGCTCAGGGCCTCTGGGGAGAGCGTGTATTTACTGAACTGATAAGACAGCTCAGTAAGACTGTCTGCTGCCAAGCCTGATGACCTGGGTTCAGTCCCAAGAGTGTGGGCACACCGCCCGCACAGTGAACAAACAAACAAGATAAGTAAATTAACAGTACTAAAGTGTACAAGCATAACCACAGAACCCTGAAGGCGGCTGCTCCTGCCTCTGGGGTCCCTCAGGCTGGACCATGGGGCTGACTCTGCGGCCCCCACCTTTGGCCCTCAGTTGTCCTCACCGCAGGCTCCTCGAGACCCTAGCGCTTCCTCGAAGGAGTTTTCCACCCCCCAACAGTGTCCGCCCTACAACTTCCTGGGAACTCATCTTCTCATGGAGGGCTAGGAAAGAGACACTGGGCGGGGCTGGGGGAGAATTTGTCTTTCTCCACAGGGAGGGTTCGGGCCTTACCTGTCAGGGTCCCAGAGGGGCCACCCCAGAGTACAGCAGCCATGTAGCCATGTATCAGGCTAGTGCCCACGCTGAGGGCGTCTCTTCCTCCATTTGACAGGACACTGGCAGCCCTTTAGAATGACAGAGCAGGCCACACCACCTCTCACAAAGCTCCTCACGAAGTCGCTCCTCGGCATGAGGGAAACCCACTGTGACCAGTTCTTCCTGACGACCCTCTATCCAAACTGGGCTCCAGCCTGCCATTCCCTGTCATGAGCTGGAGGGTTTACTCATTAGAACAACCTGCAGTGACCAACAGCCTTTCACGTCGGTTCACCTCAGAAAAATCGAGAATGGGCGCTCCATCATCTACCCCATTGTGGCTTCCTCGAATGCATCCCCTTGTGTGTACATGTGTATGTGACTTATGTGTAAACACATATGTGCGTGCATGCACACGTGGACGTGCATGCATGTGGAGGCCAGAAATCACCATGAGGTATCTTCCTCGGCTACTCTCTACCCTTCTTTCTGAGAGGCCTATGAGCTTGGAGCTCCCTGACTCAGCTAGGCTGTCTGACTGGCCGGCAGGCTCCACAGTGGGGTCCCACATTCACGCCAAAGCACCCAGAATTCACGTGAGTGCTGGGGATCCAACCTCACATCCTCACGCTTTCGTGACGAGAACACCTCTCCAGTACTGTGTGTTTATCCTAGGGTTGAGAGAAGGGGCCACTCAGAACCTAGCCAATTTAGTACAGCCCGTGCCTGTCCACAGGAGCGCCATCCAGCTGGCCCGGGTGCAGAACACAGGGGAAGGGCCTGGAGACCGCCCACTGGATGGCGCATCAAGACTGGACAGGGCCCCTGCAATCCAAGCAGAGGTGGAGACGAGGACTCGTGGGCCAGGCTGGGTGATGAGCTGACTGGAACTGGCCAGCTCTGGATCCCGAGAGACCCTGCTGCAATAAGTGAAGAATGACAGGAAGACATCTGACACGAACCCCTGGCCCCCACGTCCGCTACACAGACACACGTGGGCACACACCCATGAGAACATACGTGCATACACATAAGAAACATGAAATGCTAACAACACTGCAAGTGAGAACAGAAGGAGGCTGAACAAGAACAGCCCGGCACACTGTGGAGCAGGACAGCCCACGGGGTTGGACAGCCCGCTCTGTGCCCTGAGGGAGCTGGCGCACACCAGGCCCAGCCCTCCAACACGGGCACGCTGACCGTTTCAGAAAAAGGGTGTGCTCACCCATCTGTGCCATCCTTAGCAGGGAAGCCAAAACTCGACTTTAGAACAAACATCAAGTGGAGCGAGACATTAATTACAAAAACATTTAAGGTTTCTGTAGCCCCAACATAGACAAAGCCAAAACGCAGCTAACCAACATCTTTAAAATCTGCAACCCACGAATATTTATTAAAGATCGGACGTCATACAAACACGTGTCAGGAGAGCAGACTTGATGTACGGAGGCTGAAGTGAGACTCCGTTCCCCAGGCCTGTGAGGAGACAGCACCGGCTGCCAGTGCAGTCAGTGCCCCCAGCTGCGGTAACGGGGCAGAGGCAGACAGCTGCACGTCCTTCCACTGGTTTTAAGCATTTCCGGGGCAACGACTGGACACATGTTCCTGAGATGCAGAGACTCACCTCACTGTGCCTTTGACACAGCTGCTGTACGAACACTCAGCAAGTCATACCACGGAGTGCCCGCAGGCGGCGATAGCTGGGCTCAGTCAGGGAGAGGAAACAACGGACACTTAGGAACACACACTACCCGGGTCCTCGCAGCCACCTTCTGAGGAACTGTGCCACTGCCCACAGTTGGCACACACGAAACAGCCTCAGACATGTCGAGCAAGGTGCTGACCCGTGAGAGGCAGAACCCAGAACTGGGTCTGGGGCTGTCTGCCCCCAATCTTAACCACACCCGAATTTGAATTAACTACAAACATGGTTTAAAAGACCTTACTTTCTTCTGACCCCCGATTACCAGCCTACGAATCCTGGCACCCAAGCCCAGTGGTCCAACGTGCCAGTGTGGTGCTGGCTGCAGGAGCTCCATCCAGTGAAGGATAGTGAATCAAGGGAGACCAAGTGTAATGTTCTGGTCAGTTTTTATTATTTGTCATTCTAAAGACAAGCACATTTACAGCATACATGGCTTTCAATGAGCCAAGGATATATAAAACAGGAAGTATATGTTCATATATATTAATACTGTCCCAAACAAATAAATAAAGAAAAGTATTTAAATGCACTAAGCTTGGCAAATACAAGTGTGGGCATAAACAGTGCTGTACAATGTTTTTACATCTTTAAAGGAGAGTAAAGGCAGCTGTGCTGCAGGAGCTCTGACAGGGTCCGCCTGGAGTTCCGGGGGTCCAGACAGCGCACATTCCTTGTAAATGGGGACAGACACTGGACGGAACATCTGTTTTGTGGAAACCTGTGAAACCCTTTTCCTCCTACTGGGAACAGCTCGGTATCCTGCGGCCAGCCAGGAGCTGCATGTGCCTGTGCCTTCCTGGCTAGCCTAGGACATGTGATGCGCCGGAAGCCAGTCACAATGCCTTCAGAGAAAACACTGAAGCCACAATCTTTTCTGTGATTATCCAAGTCTTAAGAGTGTTACAATGATTCATATTATAAAACAGAAATTGAGAAAATAATTCACATGCAAAGCCGCTGGCAGGCGACTCATATTCCCTTTATAAGTGTGGATAAGTAATGCCCTCAGGACAGAAAGAAAAACTGGAGAACATGGGAAACATTTAACTCTAAAATCCAAAGGAATTTTTCAAAAAGGCAGTGATGTCAAGATGAGAAAAAAAAAAAAAATGAAACTAAAAACTTAAGAGTGAATGAAGCGACAGAGTGGAAAAGGCTTGGGCAGCCACACAAGGCCCAGCTGTCTTTACTGGGGACTGGGTCAGCCTCAGAACCATCGGAAGCCAGCAGAGTGGTGTGGAGCTGCCCTGCCCTACCTCCCAGCAGGCACCATGAGACAGGAGGCTGTCTCCCAGCTACAAAGGGGTGCCTGCACCCTCCCTGTCCCTTGCCTCAGTGTCCCAGGCCCAAGTTGGTTACATGTTTCTAAAGGAGCCAAAAGCAAAGCAGCTAGACCTCTGCAAGAATTCCACGGTGTCCGCGAGTCATATCAGCATCATGACTCTACTCCATACACGCTTCTTTTTACAGCTTTTAAACAACATGTCAACAGAACTGTAATAAACAGAATTTATAAAACATAGAAACGTCTAAAGAAAAACATCTGCTATGTGCAGACAAGACTCATCATCACCTCATAAAGATGAGCAGACTAAAGTGTGAAGTCCCTCACTCTCCGCCTCATAAGACCCTCTGGGGCTCAATGCAGGGGATAGTTTAACTGTTTCTCAACAGCTGTGTAAGGAGAACAGAACAATTAGCACAAACAAAAGCTAAGATGCTTCCTTTAGACATTCAAACATGATTTATGGTCTTCTAGAAGAGTATCAGAAAGCTCCCAGAGGAACATTTCTTCTGAAAATCTTTACGCTTCTACTGTCTCTATGGCCCTCAATCCCAGACAGCCACCTGACAAGCCAGGATGGAGGTGCTGATGGCCAGAGAAGGAGACACGCCCTGTGGGTGCGGACCTAAACAGGAGGACGAAGAGTCCAGGGACCCCTGGCTGCTTTCAAGCGGACACCTTTCTATGACCTGTGAGGGGCAGGAAGCAGTGTGGGCCCAGCTGAACCCTGGTATGGCTGATCAAGCCTTCCTTCCACTTGGGGGCTCACAGACAGTAGCAGTCTTTGAGGGCCACTGGAACCAGCTTCTCTCATACCATGAAGGTGCTGACTTCTTTCCCCCAGGTTAACATCTGAGTTACCGTCTACTGCTCCGCCGGGGACCTGAAGTTTAAGAGGGTAGGTACTTCCTGCTTTATATCCAGACCTTTGGAAAGTAGATTTTAAATCAGTGCTCAGTTGTGGGTCACTAAGCAGAAAAATAAGTTGGGTGGGCAGGGCCTCGGTGGGTATTTGAAAAAGTCTCCTGGAGTTTTAGACGCACCTAGCTGGCTTCTTCTAGAACTATGACAGGAACTGTGGAGTTACAGCTGAGAGCTATTGTTAAGGGCAGCCATTACTATCCACGCTATTGAGCCACACACGACCCCCTACAGATTCCAACACAAAATCATGCTCCGTAGACTCTTTAGTGAAGTAGTTTTAAAAACACAAAAATAAAAGCCAATCCTTCAGGTCTTCTTGAAGAATCATGTGACACTAGAGGGGACCCACACTGATTACATAGCAGCTAATTAGAGGAAGCCGCGTGTTCATGTCTCTACTTTGCCGTAAGTCCCCTCTGGAGGCCTGTAATGCTTGGGAAAGGCCTTCAGCTGCAGGGAGTTAAATGCGTATTTGCGACTTCCAACATTCTTCATTGTATTTTCTCGTCGACAACCCTCACTGGGGAAAAACAAGCACAAGAAATGACAGCAGTAAAAAAGGAAAAAAGAAAAGACTTAAACTAAGATGGAATGAACTGATTATTTTCATAGCGTTAACAAGAGGTTAATTAAAATGGTTGCTGGACAGCACACACACACAAGATGGAGGTTTCGGAACAAAGCAGGAAGGAAGCGCAAGATGAGCACACGATGGACGCAGCTGTGGGCTGGCAGATCCAGAGCGATGTTGCGTCTAAGCAGACACAATTTTTTAAAGATAGACATGATTTTGTGTGTATCTTGGACTTGGTTATCGGGGTTCCATCCTAACTTGTGGTTCAAAGACTGCCAGGCAGCACACTGGATGCATGGGGATATTTCACGCTTACCATAGCTTCTGAAACACTGTACCTTTGTGTGTTAGCAGAACTGTGACCACCTCAGACCCCACATGCTGACTTTCCTTGCGGAATTCAACAGGCAGCAAAACCACCTGGCTGAGGCGTGAGGCGGCTGCTCTGACATCTGCCTCCACCTAGGGGCAGCTGTCCAAGTGCAAAGCTCCCACATGGGCCCAAACGCTGCCTGCACCAGGTCCTCATAGCTATCAGGCTGCCCTGAGGCTCCACCATCTCCTGGTGGTGCTAGCCGCCATTAGCCAGGTGGGCTGCTCGCATGGTGGCCATTTCTTGTACAAGAACCACTGAACCCAGTGCAAGCCCACAGGTGCTCTGCCCTTAGAGGACTCACTACCAGCACGAATCCCAGCTGCAAGGGAGGCAGGGACGTCACAGCTACCCAGGGTCAAACAGGTGGTGCCCACGAGAATGAAGAGCCAAGTGAGCCTCTGTGGCCCTCAAGGGAGTTCTCGGGGCAACGCTCTGCGGTGGGCGTAAGAGTAACAGCCCACAGTGATTTTGAATATAAATGCCTTTCCACACACAGTAAAACTTGCTATTTTTATAATGTTCAAAGACAAGCAGTGTAATCAAGTGCTTGTCAGGTTCAGTTAAAAAAAAAAAAAACAACAAAAAACCAACCCTTCTGAGAAGTAAAATTTGCAGTTACCAAGAACAGTGATTTGAAAAATGTATTTCAAATTCTAAGACCACATGACATACATTTTAAAAACATAGCAGCTCAAGCCTTTCAAAATGAAAATGGCGGTCCCTTCTCTAAGATCATGTGGAGCAGTTTCTGGTGAGACAATAATGTTTCTTCAAAAGACAGGAAGCCCAGGCAGTTGAGAAAGGCATCTGGCTGCCACTGTTAACGGCTCCTGCCACCTGAGCATGCCCTTGCTCCGGAGCCTCAAGCCTTAGGCTGGACATGTCACCTGAGAACACCAGGGCCACCCCGAGCAAAGGACAGCATGTGCTGAGCACTCGGGGAGCGGGTGAAGGTGTGACTCTACTTACAGCAGAAGGGATGGGTGCTGGGAGGGAGCTGGCTGTGGTCTCTGGGAGCTCCGTTATTAACAGACTGCCTCAGGCCTGGCCTTTCCACCTATGCAGAAGGGACCTCCGACCCACCTATCCAGTAAATGCCAGACAGGAACTCAGAAACTCTTAAAGTCTGTGTTCACACTGACAGAAACTAACTCCATGTTCAGCTGGTTGGTACACTGTACAAGAACACACAGCTTCGGCTCAGATTATGCCTTCAACTTGGTTTTTAAACTAAACCGTGTCTCCCATTATGCTCAATGTGCAGCTGACATGCCTGGTCTGCATGCTGCCACTATCAGTGTGACCTGCTGGAACTTGGGACAAGATCCGCAGAGGTGGTGACGTGTTGCATGCGCTGCAGAGTCCAGCATGAAGACCTGAGGCAGAACACTTTCACTGACAACACTGCTACAGGGTCTTCAGGTGCAATAAAACATGGCAATTCAGGCAGATTTTAGCAAAAGATAGTTATTGTATAGCTCCTGGTTCTTTTTTATTATCTCAAAAATCACTTCATTTCAAAGGCATCAACTTTGGAAATATGAACGGAAACTCTAAAAGGGGTATCCTAAAGACCTCTGGTTTTCCTTTCCTGGGGCGGGGGCTCCCACTTCAGAGTTCACCTGAAGGCCCCAGGCCATTCCACAGCAGACATGGGGGGGGTGCCTTGTGGAAGAACCATGCTCCCGTCTCAGCATCTCTGCCTGAATGACACAGGAGGAAGCAGTGGCAGTCAGCCTAGCGGGAGAACTCACACAGCCACTTTCTAAGGCCAGCTGACGAGAGCACAGAACATGGCTTCTGGCTACTGAGGGTGTCTTAGTGACATTGAAACACAGCATAAAAGATGGGTGTTCTGAAGCCTGGCCTCCCATCTCGCAGGGTGTTAGAGGAGAAAAGGAAATGCAGACCTCAAGCGCCCACTGCTTGGCTTCCTCCAGAGAAGCCCTTGTGTGCCTGGCCACCCAGATGGGGTGCTACACGCTGCTCAACCCCAGAGGTGAGAACAAGGAGCCACACACATGGCCTCCTTTCTGACCCTTCTCTCTCTTACCCAAGGGCAAGGCCACACAGGACAGGAGGGTGGCTGGCAGACCAGTGTCCCCACAAGAGTTCCCTCTGCCTAGGGTTGGGGTGGGGATTTCTCTAAGCAGCCACTGCCTCCTTCTGCTGTGCTATGGTCCTGAAATGAGGCCCCCCCAGAGCTATGGCATCCCAGCCGCTAGGGGCAGAAGGTGCTGTCTCTGCAGTTACGTCCAGAGTTACTCTGTAGGCTTCCCTCACTGCTCTGTGGTCTCTCTCTGTTTGGCCACACCACCACCCTGGAAATGGTTCAGGCCCATGGTATCAGGAGGTATCAACCTAGAGAAAGGAAGGGGCAGCCGCAGGGTGAGGGTGGAAGGAGGCTACGGGCTCTCTCTCCCCTGTGCAAATGAAGCAAGCAAAATGGTCTTGGAGGTTTGAAGCACATGTGCTGAGGTGAAAGGGCATCTATCCAGTATCCCTTTCAAAGGGTCCCTGACTGGACAGGTCTGTCAGGTGGCTAATGTCAGCCAGCAATAGGTGAGACTAAACTAAAGACACCACAGAGCTGCTGCCATGCTTAACCCAGGGGAGACAAGAGCTGCTTAGGTGGAGACAGAGTGAGGCCTGCCCTGGGAAGCCTGCAATGCTCAGCCCTAGAAGGGGACTGCTCTGGTGTGGGTAGGACAGCCTCACCCAGCCCAATTCACAGATTCCGCCCAGCACCGGTGTTCACTGCTAGCTGCCAACGCAACTCCTGGACTCACTCTTTCAGAGGGGGGCAAGTCAGAGAACACCCTCCAAGTAGTCAGGAGGTGTTGGGGACTTCTGGTGGATGGGTCTGTGGGCATGAGGATGTCAAGATGCTGCAGACCCCAGCTCCTCTAACTCACTCCAGGCTTTCCACCAGACTCCTGAGAAGAAATCCCCTTCATCCGACTGAGGGTCAAAAATCAGAAACAACACAAACAAGAAGATGGAGAAGCCACTCACCATTTCTTACACAAGGCTCGTCGGATCTTTCCTGGGTTACGTGGTTATTTTTAGAGAGGACAGTTACTCTCGGCCACGTATGAATGTCAGGGTGACTGGTCATCCTATCTTAGGAGCAGTACCATGTTAAAATTAAGAGTGCTAGCAGCAAAACTCACACTTATCCCTCCTTCTAATGGCTCCGTCTCTCACAACTGCCAAAACTGAAGCCTCATTTTTTTAGAGCATTTTCTTTGATTTTTTTTTTGTTGTTGTTGTTGTTGTTCATTATTAACGTTATTGTATTAGTAAAGAACAAAAAAAATATCTAGACTTTATCTGGAATTAAACATACAATTTTTAAATTAAAAAATGTTATTTTAAGGAAACGTATGTAACTGTCACCGCTCCGTGTATTAAGAGCAACCCTGAAGTCCCATGCGTGTAATCTCTGTGTGCAGGGCTTGGTGGCATGTGCTCCTGTACCCACAGCTGGTTGCTAGCGGAACTAACTAGAAGCGGGGAAGCGTCACTCTGCAAACTGTTTGCTCCTACACTCCCAGGCTCACACTCTGAAAGGAAAGCAGGAAGTACAGTTCCAGGAGACAGGGGCTTCTAGAGAAGCCGGCTGATAAGCTCTTTTTCTCATCATTTTTCTTCAAAAGGCAAGGACGGTTAGCAACACACTGAAGGAATAGCATCAAATATACAAATTCTTCTCAGACAGCATCCCTTTCTCTTGGACCAGGGCACATGAGATGTACAGGTAATAAAATAGTTATACATCAGAAGGTAAGCTATTTGGTACAAGTAATCAATTCCAGGCCAGCTAAAGAATGCAATCACAGGGCACCAGAAGGACATGCCACAAGCACCGAAGACGCTACACAATTGAAACAAACAAGTCCTCTCGATGAAATAATCTGGCAGGTATTTACAGTTCGGAAGAACAAACATCAAACTGTAAGGCATGAGATAGTCCTTGGCAGACCTCGCTTTGACACCTTCCTTCTGTCCAGTTTGGTACACGGTGGCTGGACATATTCGGGCACTTTTGTCTGCCTCGTGACTGATTAATTTTTCATAATGGTACTTATTTGCAACGCAATTTAGTCAGCAGGTATGCTATGCTCAGGAAGAGCCACACAATCAGTAAATTGGGGCTCAGTGCTAGCAAGGGAAGGGAACAGAGGAGGCTGGGGTCTAGCCTCAAGTCCCGCATGGGCACCAGGCCGCTCAAGTTCTTCTGGGTGACTACCTCCCGTGTTCCAATGCTGTGAAAAGGAGAAAGTTGGGAGAAAGGAAAAGAAAAGGGAAAAATAAAAGAAAAAAGAAAGAAAAAAAAAAGACAGACACATGCAATGGGTTTGACGCAAAAGTATGGGGAGAAAGGAGAACCAAAAGATAAGATTTAAAAAAAAAAAAGTGGAATGAGCCACACAGAAAGAAAAATGAGATGTAGAAAAGGGTGTGAACAGAAAACCAAACAAAACCAGCACAGTTACAGGAAAAAAGGAGAGAAAGAGAAGTGAAAAATAAGAAAAAAATTCTGTAGTCTACCAAAATTAACACATGTAGGCTGAAAGGATGGTTTTCCATGTTCACCCTCTCTCGATGGCCAAGCATAGCTCCATGCTGCCCGCCACACCCCATGCTGTAGATGAGCATCTCTGAGAAGCAAGCTGAACATGAAGAACCATGGGCTTTGACCTTCTCACGGTGCCTGCGGAGGGCAGGTACAATGGATTCGCCACACAAATCAAGTCATTTGGCTGGTGTCAGTCCAGTGCAGTGTCCTCTCCCACCTGCCTCGAGCCTCAGCCTGCGTGTCGTAGGGGAAAGCAACCCCGCCTCCAGCTTTGTAAGATGCTGGTCTAGAAGGTCACCCCTCACAATGGAGTCAACAGAATCCACAATGGAAAAATCTAAAACGTTCCGGGGGCTGAGTGTAGCTCAGTGGTCAACTATGCTAACTGGTTGGCACTAGGCCCTGGGCTCAAGCCCAACTACCAAAAAAGTAAAAGACTGCTGGGGCTGGGTGGCATGCGGAAGCGCATGACTGCGGACCACTGTCCCTCTCCAGCCAACAGCAGCACTAAGGCAGACTCCTCTCAGGGCATGGCAGGCACTCTGAAGGGACAGCTTCAGATGGCAGGCAGGGGCTTGAGGTGCCTTCCATGGCCGTGGAAGCCGAGAGCTCTGGACGGGCCCTGCCAGGATATGCTTTTCTGACGGGAAGCTGTACAAGCTGGCAAGCACTGACTGATGACCACAGTGCCGGCTGGGGCTGCCTGGTGGGCCGCTGCGGCTGCCCGGGGGGGACCTGCTGTTTGATGACTTTGTTCCTAACGTGGGGCAGAGGGCCACCTCTGCCATTATCCTCTGCCCCAGCCAGGGGATGCTGGCTCTGCCCATGTGGCTTACAGGAACTGATTAGGTGAAATTAGACCCCACTGCACATTCCTATACACCGGGGCCTTGAGAGGGGCCCAGGTACAAGAATGCGTGGTGCATTCCGTGCACACACGCCGTGGTGTGGTGTGAGGTGGGTGCCTGTGTGCGTGTGTGCATGTATGTGTACATGCATGCCTCCAGGGGTCAGTACAGTGTCAGCCCTGCTCCCATCTCACAGTCTGCTCTCTCTTCCGGTAAGACACACTCGAGAAAGCAAGGGAACCAAACGCACTCGGCACTGGATGTCGCTGGGACGCCCGCTGCAGTGCTGGTCACCACTGTGGCCGCACAATGTGTCTTCACCACGCGTGCTAATCCAGAAAACACAGACTTTGGGTATGACTGTGTCACCCGAAAACAAAGGCACCTCAGGGTCAGCAGAGGGCAGTGGTGAACACTCTTACTGAGCTGAGCACAGAGGGGCGGGCAGACACTTTGTTTCATATTTAATGGCTGCTAAAAATAAATCATTAAACTAAAGTGTGTCCATGTAGGGATTTTAGATTCCATAAAACTCTGTGGTTAAAGACGGAGTTGGTTGAATGAGACACAGAGAGAGAGCAGGAAATATGTTCATTTCTTACGTCACTCCTTGCTCACGATCTCAGGGTCCTTATTTCCGAAACAGTAGGACAGGACAACCCTAACCGAATAGCCTGTGAGCTGACAAGGGCAGGGGGAATGACGCTGCCAGACCCTGAGCCGGCGCAGCTTACTGCCTCGTATTCAAACTGCTGGAGAGCTGCAGAGATGTCGGACCTTCAGCCCAAAGAATGGCCTGTCACATGGGATGTTACACTCGAGCTGACGTGCCACGCTCCAAGAGAATCACGTGTTGATGGGCTGAGCCCCAGAGCAAGGCATGCTCAAGACGGGACTTTAGTGGAGTGGCTGACCAGGGCTCTGGCTTCATCAATAAGCTGACAGGAGATGTGAGTGCTGGGGCCTGGTTGGAGGGTGAGTGCCAGTAGAGTGTCTTTAAACTCTTTTAAATTATGTCTATTCGTTGTGTACTCATGTGCCGGAGTGTGCAGGGTTGGGTGGGGCGCTGTGACTGGCAGGGGCTGGTTGGCCCGCCATGTAGATCCCAGAGGTCAAGCTCAGGTCATCACGCTTGGTGGCAAGCCCCTTTAGCCATGAGCCATCTCAGCAGCCCTGACACCGGTTTTGACAGGTTCCTACAGCTGTATAATGAATGTTGGCCGTGCTCACACCCAGCGGCCCTCTTCTTCCCTGGGATCCCTTATCAACAAGGGTCCTTCCTCCTTTCCTGCCCTCATTCCATGTGTGGCCCACTTGCTTAAGTTAGAGTTTCTTCAGAGTGTGGATGGGAGTTTACTGGAGCAAGCGCAAAGGCATGTGGCTTTCACAGGTGCAGCTAGGCCTAGGCCTGTGTCTGTCCTGCTCAGCGTGTGTCCTGCTCCCTGTGAAGTGAGCGTCTGGGCTCTGCCATGCCCTTCTGCTAGGAGACTTCCTCACCAGAGTCAAGAAAAAAAGCTGCAAAACCTCTTAGGCTCTGAACAGAATCCTCCCCTTCTCCTTTCTTGGGTATTCTGTCTATCAAGCAACACTCAAATTTGTACTGAAGAAACGGGATACTATAATTATACTGGATCATCAGACTCAGAAAAGTTACAAGAGTCCAGAGAAGCAGCCTAAAAAAAAAAAAAAAAAAGAAAAAAGGAAGAAAGAAAAGAAAAGAAAAGAAAAAAAAAAAAAAAAAAAAAAAAAGAAAACCCTTAGAACTCTGCCATAAGCAGAGTGTAATGGGCACTTCGGAGGTTGAGATGCCCAGAATGCCAAACAAAATGGGGAAATGGGGACGGTCAAGCCTCTGTGAGGTTTCTTTCAGACGGGAACACACTCAGCCGGAAGCCGGACTGGAGGCCATGCACGCTCTATCTGTCCCCGTGCCCGTGGACAGTAGAAACAATTGCCAGAAGGCTATCAGAACAGCCCACTAAGTAAGAAGCTGCATGGGTGCTGCTTGCTGCTTTTAGCCAGGTTAGTGGTAAGAACTGAGACTGAGAAGCAGAACCGAAGGGTCTGAAAACTTTCAAATTTGCCCAGAATGAGGCACAGGTAAAGCTGGGCCAAGGGAGTTGTGGCTCCTCACAGACTGGACCTTGTGTGTTGGAGATATGGGCCCAGCTGTTGGGCCCCACTGAGAGGAAACTGGAATATGAGGACTCCGCTTCTTCAGTAGATTAATCCACTGACTGGGCCATAATTTATTGCATCATTACTGTGGTCCCTAGGCCTGTACCTTTGAAGGACACTGGTTCCAGCCTCTGCCGTACAACCAGAGGAACTCCTGTCTGGCTTCCTCACTCCCTCAGCAGCAGACATCTGTGGGTCATGAGATCAACTGCATGGTTAATACAGACCAGCTGCCACAACACCGGCTGTGGAGGCTGAAAGGCTGCTGTGTGCAGATTCTGGACACAGAGCTTTAGTGCCCCCAGGACTCTGACACCTTTCCATCACTAGGGACAGAGGCATGGACTGATGAACCTTAACAGAGAGGTTCAAATGAACTTGGAGACAGAACAGGAACAGAATGGTGCCAGTTTTGCTACTATCAAGAGGCATGAGCTAGGTGTCCCTCTGTGCACTGTGAGAAGGTCAAATGGCAGAAACATACAGAAAGGATAAGAGAATTGAACGCTTTAAAGAATTTGGTGAGAGGACAAACGATGCAGAACATTCAGTAGAAGTGACTGTTGGAAACGACACTTGAACAGCATTGGTGAGTACATCAAAGGAGACAGGAGAACCAGGTTTCTTATCCTTTCTTTTGGTATGCGAGGTAGGGAGCTCCCCAGCAGTGCTTGAAACAAGGCATCCATCAACAGAGGACAATCTGAATTCTGGCTTTCATTCTGCAAACACATCTGCTGCCTCAGAGTCAGGACATCATTAGGGGAAGGTGGCCAGGGCACACAGACAGCTATCGCCATGGAACACTCACTGGACATTTTGCTCCTGAGAGCAAACTCTGTCCACTACTGGAGAGGTAGCGGAGCAGACCGGTGCCACCTCCAGGCACGGTACTTCCCTGACTGTGGAAGTATACGACACATACATACATACTACGTAAAAGCAGCTGCCTGCTGAGAAAGCGTGGACCCTAGCCCCCCCACGGCCAGGTGGCTCCCCAGCCTTGTGGAACTGTCTGACCCCAAGCCTGCCCACCACTCTACTGGGTCAGTCCAGTTCTGCTCAAGGAGAGTGCTGGCTTGTCCCCTTGGCCTCCGAAGAGGACACTGCCTGAGTTTGACAGACCAGTAGTTTGCGTAGTGGTCAAACTCAACTGTGCTGGAAGTTTGGGGCCCCATGTGGGGCAGGGGCATGGCCCATCTGCAGCCTACACAGCGAAGGGAGTGGCTGGGTGGGCACAGCCTGGCAGCAGCCCTCACTCACCTGCGCATGCACTCCAGGGCTTGTGTGAAGACCTGAGGGGCCATGCCGTGTTCGTGCTGCAGGATCAGGCACTGCTCCAGCGTCACCGACATGGCTGTGCGGTCCTTGGCACTCTTGCAGCTGGTGAATCGGACCCCATTGAGGCGGCGACAGACCTGCCAACAGGAAACAGACTTGTAGGAAAGTCGGCAGACAGGCAGCACCCTCAAGGGGAGGGAGCCCCCACCGCCGTGACAAGAACACCAACGACACTGCTCCCAGCCTGACTGCTTGGCTCTCCAGCCCTGTGTCCTGCTGACCTTAGGTATCAGAACCTAAGGTAACCCCAAAGAAGAGTCCTCGGAGGGCCTGCCACCTGAGTTCACCTCTGCCTCCCACAGCCATCCCTCACGGGAACCTGTTCCTTGTGTGTTCTTCCAAGGGACATTCCTTCTAGAGACTTCTGGACATCATTGTTTTGCACTGGGCCTTAGTAAGTCATGCTGGGCCTTCTTGGCACACCCAGCCCAAGGAATGAGGACACAGGATAATCCAGCCAAGGAAAGCTACTGCCACACACAGGGTCCCCTTGTCCCTGGACAGGCCGGCATGACTCCTCTCCCGAGGCAAGAACACTGGGGCATGTCCTTTCATTTCTAGATACACCCCTAGACTCACGGCTCCACACTGTAGCCCGTGGCACAGGAAGGGGTCTGCAGTGTTTGTAGACTCCCAGCCCAATCTGCAGCCAGCTCCAGGGCTCTGCCTGGGTCTCCCTGCCTAGGCAACGATCACCTAGACCTGACTGAGGGTTTTTCAGCTGGCCGGCTGGGACTCTGTTCATATATAGGAAGGAAAAGAAGACTCCGAAAACGGACAGCTCTGAGGGACGCAGCGTCTAAGCGGTACGGCTCGCTGCCCCATACCCACTGCCCCACAGGTGACCATATGGACAACATGAAGTGAGATATACAGAGGTCCCTGAGAAGTCCACAGCCCTGAATCTAAGCTTCCATGGCTTGGGCTCAACTAGGAACAGGAACGGAAGGTGTGTTTTCTGACTTGACAGGGAGGGTCAGCTGCCCTCACGACTAACTGATGACCGTTGTGTGGCATGCAACAGACAGAGTGCCTCGGTCTCTAAATAAGGCATGCATGAATGTGTGCATGGGTGAAGCCGTCAGTCACCGTGCTAAGAATGGATCAGCGAGGGAAGGCCCTGTCATTGCTCAGCGCCCATCTCTGTCACCCTCTGGACTGTGTGCTGGCTCTCAGAAGCTCACAGAGGCACCTATGAAAGGGGCTGTCACTAGAGCAGTTCCCTCAAGCTAACAGAAAGGGGCGCTCCCCTGCTCTGCTGCAAAGACCCAAGAGAAGGCGTGTCCTCCTGTGTTTCCATCTCATTTCATGGACCCAGCCCAACAATGTCAAACTAGACCCCAGACTAGGAGAGTGGGAAAAGGCAGCCTGAACCTTGTGAGGACTTTTGTTACTTGCTGTTTCCAAGTAAGTGTCACTGTAATTGCAAGCTCAAAAGGCAGCCTAGCTGGACAAAGAAGCTCCACAGGGGACCCATCCCGAGTCTCCCACAGCTGGGCTGCTGTGGAGGAGGAAGAGACTGTGTGTGGACAATGTCCACTCTCTAAAGTTTCATTCCACAATCGCCTCAGCAGCCACAGCTATCAGCAACTCACATGTAAAGCTCACCTGAGAAGGGGGCTACCACAAGGACGCCCTAACCCAGGCTCCAGCAGCAACTGGGGTGGTCCAGCAAGCACCAGGCCAGGTTGGTAGGTTGGAGGGAGTGCCTGGATTCCAGAACTGGCCAGGAGATACTGCCATGAGCATGAAGGGCACACAAGTGACTGACTAACTGCTCAGGTGCCCCGGCTCGTAGTGGAGCCGTGGGAATCCCTGACTAAAGTTCTGAGAAAATCCTAGCAGGGCAGGTGCTTGGGCAATGAGGAGGTCTGCCTAGCAATGCAGAGTAAGAACTCGCTAAGCAGCTATGAGAAATAGACAGTCTCCCCTGGCACTGCTCAAGCCCGGGCAAGCGAAGGTCTTGGCTTCGATCAAAAGACTATCTAGACTTCTTAAAAGAGGACACATCAGCCTGGCTGGCAATGTCACAGGAACACGTTCCAGGTCTGTGTGGGAATCCAGGCAGCCTTTTGGAGTGAACTCCTGGGCAAAGATGCTCAGTGTCTCCCAGCACTGCCGGAGCTAGGTGGTGACCTTCCCTGTGTGCTGCGTAAGTGCTGCGTAAGAGGGGTCTGCGCTCTCCCTGCTGGCTGAGGCGCTGGTCTGTCTTCACTACGGTGAGTGACAGGGCACACGGTGACTGCCCTACACGAGGGCGAGTACCTCAGCAGCTTGCCAGAGGATGTCCACGTTCTTATTCTTGCGCGCATGGACGTTCTGTCCTAGAAACCGCAGCAGCTCCGGCAGGCAGGTCTGACTCCGAGAGCGAGGGAGACCTGGAAGAGAAGGGAAGTCCATGGAAGAGCGGCCACCCACAAATAGCCACTGCAGGCATTTTCCTGCCTCGCAGCAGGCAGGGGAGGAAGGTGTTTGCAGACTTGAACAGCGCTGCCAGGATGCTGAGCCCTGAGCTTCTTTCACTGCTATCAGCTCCACTGTCAAAGTGAAGAGACTTTCTCTCGTTGGCTTTCCCAAGAGGCTGGAGACAGGCATGCCAAAGGACTGTAGCAACTCAAGAGCCGCCTACCCCTCTAGGGGGCAGTGAGCAAGACGTGAGGGCGAGCTGTCAGGTCTCCAAACTGACCTCGGGGACGCAAAATGCTTAGAATAGTGGGTGCTGACTAGCGAGTGGATGGAAACCTTTGGAGAGTCTGGAAGTGCAGCCTATGAGACCTCAACTTACACTTGAAGGAAGAATTTCTGAATGGCCAGAGATGTCTAACCCCGCTCCTAACAGCTCCCCTCTTCCACTGTGGGAGTTTCCAGGCCCTTGTACGACCTCCTCACCTGCCATGTCATCTTGCTTCACCCAAAAAATCTGGGACGAAAATTAAAGACAAGGCGACCATTTCTGAAGGTATTGTGGAATTTTTCACACACATATTATAAAGAGAAGGGCCTCAAGGTCATGGCTTCGGTAACACGTGCCTGGTCCACACAGCAGCTATGATCAGATCAGATAATCCTCAGGAAAAGGAGACAGAGCCCTTGGCATAAGGCAAGGACTTGATGCATGTTTTTATTAGTGAGCACTAAGGATGAACGGGAGGACGCCTACCTGAAGACCTGCAATTGAGTCCTGGAAGGGACTAGAGGCTACAGACATTTCTGGAACATTATGCGTGCTGGCAAGTTTCATAGCAAGCCAGCTAGAGTTGTTTTTGGAAGAGAAAATGCCTCTACCAGAGGCAAGCCCGCGGTACATTTTTTGGTTGACAATTGATGTGGATGTGGGAGGCCCACCCTGTTGTGGGTGATGTCACCCTGGGCTGGTGGTCCTGGATTCTCTGGGAAAGCAGGCTGAGAAAGTCATGGGGAACAAGCCAATAGGCTACACTCCTCCCTGGCTTCCGAATCAGTTCCTAATCCAGGTTCCTGCTTTGAGTTCCTACCCTAACTTCCTTTGATGATGCCCTGTGGTGCGGAAGCAGAAGCTGAAATAGCCCTTTTTCTCCCCGAGCTGCTTTTGGTCATGGTGTAATATCATGGCAATAGAAACCCTAACTAGGACACTGTGAAAGTATCAATATGCTTAAAGTCCATCTTACTCTATGTGCCAGGGACAGAAATACATGGATAGCTTGTGTATCCAAGCCCTGGACTGTCTCCAAGGCCTCTCGTGCACACAGGTGCTCAGCAGGTGCACACAGTCTGCCATGGGATGGACCAAGGAGGCTCAACACAGCAGCAGAAAGCACTACAGCGTGTACAGCAGAAGAGGGGCGGGGGCTGCAGCATCAGAGCAGCTTTCCTGAGTGGGGCTCAGGCCAGGCAAATGGGACATGCACACAGGAGAGGGGCAGAGAAGGAATAGCTCAGAGACATGCGTGTAGGGATCTGTGCACACATATTAATGGACGCTACGCTGCAGTAGGATGCGCTGGGCAGAAAGCAGGGAGCTGGAGCTCAGGCAGCCAGAATGAGGACTGCACACGCAGCGTGGAGCATGATGGGTGAAGGAACACTCACAGTCCTCTGGCAAAACTTCCTTAAACTGCTCAAAGTAGGAATTTAACCGCACCAAACTCTCGATGTTGATAACTTCTTGTAAGGATGTATCTCCGAACCTTGGGGAGAATGAGAACATCAGCAGAAGGCCTTGTCATTGTCAACATTGAAAACTGCAAGAGATCTTAGGGTTCGGCTCTCCTAGGCAGATACGCTGCCCGTCCAAACCCCAAATCTCTCTTTCCTTCCTAAAGCTAGCTCCACAGCACTGGGACAAACTATGAGCAGAAGCCACTGTAACTCACTGCAGGTGTGCCTAAGAGTACACCGGCCCAGCACCCCACTTGCTACAGTTTGGTAAGACATCTCTCCCATGCAAGCGCACATGAAGGCTTGGGCTCTGGGCACTACTGAGGGGTGATTGGATCCTGATGGATTCACCGATGGGTCCCAGCTAAATGCTCTGTAGGAGCCGGGACCCAGCTGGAGGAAGAGGACACTGGGCTACATCTTTGAAGGATTGCCCCTACCCTCTGGCCCTTCCCTCCTGTCTCCTGCACACCATGGGGTTAGCTACTTTGCTCCACCGTATGTTTCTACACCATGATTTTCTGCCTTTCCATGCACAGGCTGAGGTGCAGTGGCTCAGAACCACAGCCTGAAACTTCTGAAATCATAAGCCAAAATAAATCTTTACTCCTGAAGGTGTTTTTTTGTTTTGTCTTGTTTTGTTTTGTTTTTTGTCTTCGTAAAGGTATTTTCTCACATCGATGAAGAATGATGCTGAAAGGCCCACTGGTAGCCACAAGCTTTCTTCCTGGAGTTCTTGTGTTTTCCTGCCTCACAGGCCCCCAGAAAAAGGGACAGCAGTGGGGGGCAGTAAATGAGCAGACTGTGCTGGGACCTAAAAGCATCCTCTGCTGTATGAACACTAACTGTCCTGCTAGGCTAGCCTGGGACCTTCTCTTTCCTCATCATAGGTCTGACCTGTGCCAACTATATGCTGTAAGAATGCCTACTGAATGCCCGAGATAAGTAGTGGATGCTACCTGCAAGGAAGGGGCTAAACAGTGAAAGAGAAAATAGAAAGAAAAAAAAAAAAGTTCTGCCATTGTGCCCTCAGCACACTGCTCTAGGACTCAGTGCTCTACTGCCCGCATTAGCTCAGAGGCAGTAACCCCTCCTACTCAACACACTCTTCACCTGGTGCCCACACGGCCCTGTGTGGCAGACACCTGCTCCCTGGAGGTGGGGGCGTGTCCCCTCATCTGGGAAGCAAAGCAAACTCACTAGCTTGCTGCTGGAGCAAGCAGACAAACCAAGCCAATCCTGCTCACTCTTCAGCTCCAGCTGAAATGCACATGACCCTTCTCTCCCCTCCCTCCCCTTCCCTCCCTTTCCTCTCCTTCCTCCTCTTCCTCCCCTCCCCTCTCCTCCCCTCCCTTCAGGGCCCTGGACTTGTCCTCTGCAGAGACCGCTCAGCAGCAGCTGGATGCAGGGAGTGCTATTTTCTCTCCGGAGACACCTCCCCTCCCGCTGCAGCCCCCACAGGAGGCCACTCTGCTCAAAATAGACTCTTCTAGCTCCTGCCTCAGAGGGGGTGGGAGGGTCTGCCTTTTGCGCTGGAACCTCCGGTGGTTCGCCATCTGCTCTGCACATGACCTTCCCGATGTCCTGAGCTTAGTGAAGGCGCCAGCCCACTTGTCCAGTCTGGAAGCCAAGGCCAGTCTGCTTATTCTTCATGCTACTTGCGTCTTCATTTGCACCAGGCTCCTCTCACCCAGATCCACAGCACTGCCCTGGGGCCCGGCCTCGTCAGCAACAGCCTCACATCTACCTCGGATCCGTTCCACCCATGGCCAGAATATGACCTACTCAACATGTAAATCTGAGCATGTCCTGCTCTAAAACGTTGTACCACATCCCCCAGTAAGCACATTGCATTTCCTCACACCCACAGCCCCCCCCCCCCACTGCCCGGGCACCAGCACGCACCTCTCAGCCAGCGTCTGCTGCTCGTTGATGCCCACGTTGAAGAGCACTGGCTGCACCCGCAGCAGCATGCCGCTCTGGATCTCTCGGGGCAGCGAGTCGAACAGTGGGCCTGGCAGAGGGATCCTTACGTTAAAGCCATCACTAGCGGAGAGAGGACACACAGGGTGAGGTCAGGACACAGAGCAGGACACAGATGAAAGCACAATTCAGAGCCCTGGGTTCCGTGGTTCAGTGCCCACTCGGACCTTTAAGGAGAAGTTATGAACTTGACCTGGGTAGGGGCCGTGGTTTAAAAGAGTAAGATAAAGTAAAAGTGAAGACAGAGCAGTGTGTAATCCATGAGACAAACACAAGCGAAAGCATGCTGCTGACCGGAGCATTTCCGGGGATCACGTACCGGTTTCCTGTGATGACGGGCAGCATGTCCGCCGACGCATTCGACGCAGCCTGGGTGACTTTGAAGGTCACGTTCCTCAGGTCCATGATTCCAAGGCTCATGTCCTCCAGCATGGCCAGCTCCTCTCCTGAACAGCAGAGAGAAGCGTGATGTCAAGGCCTGCTACTCTCCCAGGACGTGTGTGGACTGGGGGCTCAGGGCATGGGTGGGAGGACGTTCCCCGAGCCACTCCCTCAACACAGTGCTCTGTGAGAGAGTGTGTGTGGACTGCATAACAACACTGCACATGTCACTGGTGGAAATGAGCTTTCTGTGCATGGAGCCTCCAAACCCCACGCCAGCTCCCCAGGAATGGGAAGAGAAATGGTAAAATGACTTTGCTGTGGCCACCTCCTTCCTCCACCTGGGGCTGGATACCTGGCCAAGAACCCATAATCCCAAGATGAACAAATGCTCTTTCTAAAGGGTCCATTTTCACCTGCTTGGTAGAGGTAAAGAAAAAAAAGTCCGGGGGAGGAGTCTCCCTAAAGGACGATTCAGAATCAACTTTTAAGTTTTCAGCTGCCCCTTCTCTTTGATGCAGCAACTCTCCTCCCCAGCCAGAGGAATGAGCTCGGGTAATTTAAATGTCTTCAGCACACAGGTGTCAGCAGAGATTTAGTGGAGGAGATGAGAAGCAACCCAAGTATCACCCCTGCTCACTCTACAAACCTTTAGGCACGTAGCATCGCCATTGCCAACCAAGGGGTGTGCAGAACTGCACAGGGCTATCCCCTGGTTCTTTACCACACATCCCGGGGATGTGCCAACTCATCTGGGATCTGGAAGGGAGGCTGCTAGAGGCACACACGGAACCACCCTCGGGCCCTGGGCTGGCGGTCACACCCAAGCTGGGGGTCTCACCATAGGTGCTCAGCAGGCTCTCAAACTGGGCCAGCAGCCCGATGGTATAGAGCTGCCGCAGGAAGCCATCCTCGTGCAGGCAGTTCCTCAGCTTGATGATAAAGCCGCAGATGAGGGCTGTGAGCTGTGGGGGGGGGGGGGCAGAGGGGAATGGCGTGTGTGTACAGCAGCCCTTTTCTCCCCCAGCAGCACCCCACACTGGGCCCTTCATTTCCACGGCTCAAGGGACATCAGCAACATGTCCGTCCCTCAGGGAGGGCTGGGGTCTGGGGATCCAGGGATCCCTGGCTGAGACCCTGTGGGAAGGGTGGTAAACACAGGCTTGCGGCACCTGTCAAAGGTGGGCTGGGCTGGGCTCAGCTTCTGACATGACCTCCTTGGGGTTGTCCCTGAACTGAAACCTTTTGGAAGCTAGAATCAGCTCCCCACAGGGGAGGGGCCCACCCTCTCAGGCCCATGCCAACCCTGTCTGGAAACAAGAGGGAATATCTCAGCCTAGCTTCCCTAGGGGGGTTTTCTGTGGACAAGCAGGCGTCCCAGCATTGGTGGGGTGGGGGCTACAAAGCACCAGCCCCCAGGCTGCTCACACCATTAGTTTGATTACTGACATCTTTTGGAGATCCACCTCAACTCTTCACTGCGGGATAACTGCAATCTTTACATCGAGCCCTGTGACAAGAACTTGAGTGTGTGCTGTTTCCACTGTACTGACAAGCACCTATGTGGCTCTTGATCACATATATCCCTTGTAGAGAAAAAGAAAAGCGTGACAAAGAGGCTTTCGCCATTGCTCTGCTTGGTGCCAGGTTGTCCTGTCAGAGCTGGTTCTTGAGGAGGAAGCGATACTCCTCAATGAGAGGTCTCCTTCCTGTGCCTCTATTACGGAAACTTAGAAGTAGCAGGTGGGGAAAAGATGGTCACCTGTGCTTTTCACAAGTGCAGAGGGAAGGGGCGTGCTCCCTGAGCCCGTTTTCTCTGAGGTGGGAGGTGCCCACGACCACCCCTGTGTCCTCTCGGGCTTACAGTTTGGCAGAACACGACGTCACGGCGATACTGCAGGCTCAAGTATGAGGCAATGGTGGGCGCAGTGTCCTGCATGAGCAAGAAGACCATGGCCTTCTTGGCTTTGTCACTCATCATGGCCACACAGTCTGTGAGGGTGGTCAGCAGGGGGTAAAGGGCCTCACTCCATTCACCTGTACGAGCGAAGGGCTTGTTAGAGTTTGAAAGAAAGGCTTCAAGGAGCAGGTCCTGTAAAGCAGAAAGCCACCTGCCCCTATCCATTGCTCCGTCCATCCTCTCACCCCCCAGCCGCTCTAGGCCTCCTGACCCTGCTTGCTCACATATGGCCTGGAAAAGCAGCACTAAGTTCTGCCCAGAGCCAATTCTCGGCCTGCAGCTGCTGCAGTAAGCTAGCTCAGTTCCACTCTGGTAACACCCACACACACCAGGCATCCTAACACTGCCAGGGACCCCTTCCTTGATATACAAGACCATGACTGTTAAGGAAAGCAACAACAGAGAAGCTTCTTCGGGTCACAAGGCCAGAGAAAGACTGTGTGCAAGAAGAGCCAATCTCCTTCCACAGCATGCTGGCTCCTCTACTCCCCAAGGAAGGCACACTGACAGGTATACGTCACGGCCCTTCCCAGGGCAAAGTGCCACCTCTGCTCCTATCACTTCCTCTCTGTCCCCCACTTCCTCTCTGTCCCCCAACCCCACTTCCCCACTTATCAACTATTCCCATCTTAGTTTTCCTTCAGAGATGCAAGGCAACTTTAACCCTGTGCCAAAACAACCCTTAAAAATAGAGCCCCAAAGGGGAAGAGCGGGGTTAGGGGCAGCCTTGGCTCTGCCTTGTTTCCATCCTGGACGACAGCAAAAAGAGAAGATATGCTATGCCATGTCCAAAGATAGACATCAGCACAATTCCACTCGGGAAGCTCCAGGCAGTGCGCCTCCAGAGTTGCAGAGCCCTCAGAGCAGCGACTGCTCTGCCAGGGGTAGCCTCTAGGACACACAGCCTGAAGTCACTAGAGAAGAGAGACTTGCTCTGCTCGTCCCCCACCTGGCTGGCACTTTAACTCCAAGAATGTGTGGAGGAACTTGCCCGCACTCAGCAACGGGCCTGAGTACACACAGCAGCCCAGGGCTGGGCATGATCTAACTGGCTATGCAGGCACACTGTGTGTGGACAAGGGGTGGGGCTGCAATGGAAAAAAAAGCAGGCTTAAATTTAGAATCTAAAGCAGAAAGGTCTTAGCAAATAGAACACAGTAACAAAGAACACTGGACCGAGAAGTGGAAAGTATGAGTTCCAGGCCTGGCCACTGAGCAGCGATGGACACAGGCAAGGCCCTGGACTCCTCAGCCATGAGACCTTTTTGGGAAATTCTGAGAGAAGCACTGAATGGACCCTAGACCTCACTCTCCCTCTGAACTCAGACACAAAGTTTCCTGCTTCTTTGAAGAACTCTGTCAACAGAGTCTACCAAAAATGGCCAATGGAAACCAGGGAGTATAGCAAAGCATTTGGGAAAGGTTCAGTGAGAGCCTTCTTCATAGCTGGGTATGGTAGTGCATGCCTGTAATTCCAGGAGCTGGGAGGCTGAGGCAGAAGGATCAGAAGTTCAAGGCTATCCCAGGCTATATACTAATATCCAATCTCAAAAAAGAAGAACAACCAGTCCCCCCTGTCTTCCAAATGCTGCTCTTAGAGATTGAAATGCTTAGATCAAATGCAGCCATATTTATTTTGCTTTTCCAGTTATTACAACTCATAAGGTAATTGTGGTTATTTTGACCTGAAAATAATCAGAGTACAAGTTGTTCTACTAAGCCCCACTTCCCCCATTCGACTTTTTCGCTTTACCTTTTTCCAAAACAAAATTCATATTAACAATGAATTATTTGTTAAGATAGAAAAAAAGAGTCTAAAAGAAATGGCTAAAAGGCACATAATGTTCGTCTTGGAAAACGGGTGATGTGAACTTGCAAGAGGGCAAGGAAGACATCTTCCTAGATGGTCTCTGACAAGCCTGGATGGCGACAGCCCAGTAAAGGCATGACCACCATTTCTAGTATTCCCACTAGCCTTCCCGTCTACCCACAAAGAGAGGAAACGGGCTCAGAGGCTCAGAGCCATTCCAAGACACAAACAGAATGGCCATCTACATTCACCTGACTTACTCCCAAAGCCATTATCCTTAGTAGTCAGCCTGCTTGTGCTGAGGAAAAACGGAGGGTTAGTGGGTAATATGTGTTTATGCATAAGTAGAAACTCCCAAGCCAAATTGATTTTCAATAGCAGCACATGGTTATAGGCATAACGTTATTATGTAATTCATATTACTGTACCCCCATATCTGGTTGCAATCCTTTTTCTGAGAATCTCCTGTCTCAATGTTGTGTAAACACTGCTCCCCAACCGTCCCCTGATATGCCAATAAAGTGGCTTACAGCCAATCACTGAGCAGAAGAGAATAGGGCTGGAAGTCCTGCCAGCCAGGAGAGGAGGAGTTAGAGGAGGAAGTAGAGGTCCAGGGAGATATCAGAGAGAGGAGCTGGAGCAGGAAAGCTACAAAGTGCAATTAATCTCAGGGATTTACTCTGGAGGAAGCCAGATTAGCCAGGAGAGTGAAGAATAGATTAATAACTGCTCAGTTAATGTGCTGTAAAGCTTGTTAAAATAATATAATATCGTCTCGATTATTTGTGTGGTAGCCAGTTTGAGAGAGAAACTGAGAAACAAACACTTTTATAAAAATAACTTTAACACATGGTATCTACACAGACCTATCAAATAAAAATGGCTGGGATGTTAAAGTTGGTGAAGGGTTTTCAATGTGCTAGCTCAAAGAGAAAGACATTGTTGCTATTGTTGTTGTTATTATAATTTAGTGAATCAGGTCAACTAAGCAATGTTCTAAGCCCTGCAGCTGTTTCACTTCTGGGGTAAAATCTTTAGCTATCTGCTAACCTGTGACACCTGTAGCTCCTTTCGATAACTTCAAGTGCTCACAGCCTTGAATCCACAGTCTATTTTTGCTTTTAATTAACCCATCAATGTGAACGTTTGTGTCTGCATGTTTGTATGATTTTATGTCTATGTGCTATATGCATGCATGTGCTCACATGTAGCTGTGCGCATCCTTACGTGCACCTGTAAAGCTTGTGCTGATTTCCTGTCCCCTCTCCTGTCGCCCCCCACCTTACTTTTTGAGATAGGGTGTTTCAGTGAACCTGATGCACACCAACTGGCTTACATCCTGGCCAGGCAGCAAGCTCTGGGGACCAGCCTGGCTCCAACCCCTCCCTCCAGTGTTGGGACTACAAGCATGCTCTGCCACCGCTGGCTTTTTACTGGGGGAGCTGAAATCAGATCCTCGTGATTGCACAGCAGGCACTTTACTCATCCAGTAACCCTTCTGGTCTCTGGATTGTGTGCGCTTCATGCACATTGAGTATGCAGTACAGGACACTCCCAGCAGGGAACCATGTCTAACATCAACTGTGGAAAAGCCACCAGTACTTCCCAAGTGGAGGAAGAACTCTATGAGCCAGGTATCATCTGTGTGCTGACAGAAACCAGAATAAAGAAGAACCCCTGAGTTCCTGCCACAGGCTCACAGGCTACCCTTTCTGTTCCAAACTACTAGCCGTGGGCCCAGACATCCACATCACTCACTATAGAGGCTCAGTAAGATCCCCTATCTGAAGGCTTTTGGGGGATTGGTCTGGTGCTCTGTGTATTTAGCTAAATTCTGAGCCCTAAGATCTGGTTGCAGTACAAATGTATGCATTCTCACATACACTGTCCTTTGTATAAACTTTGTGTAAACTTTGCTCCTCAATTATTTCTGACTGGTTAATTAAAAAGCTAGATAGCCTATAGCTGGGCAGAAAAGAGGTAGGCCGAGCTTCGGTTCTTGGACTTGGGGTCTCAGGTAGGGACCATGAGGAGGGAGAAGAAGAAGGAGGAGGAGGAGGAGGAGGAGGAGGAGGAGGAGGAGGAGGAGGAGGAGGATGGTCCATAGGGCAGCATGGACCATGAGCACATCCATGGCCATGAGGGCTGGCCTGGTGGAGCAAAAGCAGCCCAGTCAGGAACAATATGGCAAGTAATATTGGGGAACATGGCTAGGAAATAGCAAAATAGCTTAGAGGGTTGATATCTGCCCAGCTCTAGTGCTTTAAAGCTTATTATAAATCAAATGAGTCTCTGTGGCTTTTATTTGGAAATTAAAGGGTCTCAAGTGGGATAGAAACACCAAATAGATAATTGAAAGCAAAAGGGGGTATTGCAACTTCCCTCAAATAATTCTGCTTCAGATGGCACCCAACGTCAGACTCTCAAAATCCATGCTTAGAATCTAAGTCCCAGATAGAAAGGCAGGAAACAAGCAATTCCCAGAGCAGTTTCCTACCCATTTCCTTAAGATGAATCAGACTGGAGACTCAGGCACAACCTGCAGGAAAAGGGCTTCCTAAGAGCTGCAGCCAGAAGTGGGCCCAGGACAGGCGGGGTGGAGCCTCAAAGCACACAGCCTAGGTTTTTCCCAGGCACTGCTCTGTGGCTTGAGCTGTCATCCCTGGGAAACATTCTCTGGGGAGCACAGTCCAGTTTGGATACACGCCAGAAAGACCTCAGCTGCCTGGAGCTGAGGTGAGTTGGCATGGCTGGGGCAGAGCCAACCTCCAGGGCCATATGCTAAGCTGAGCAGCTCAGACAAAACAAAACAAAACAAAACAAAACAAAACAAAACAAACCACTAGGAAAGCTGGGTATAAAAAAAAATCATAGGAAGAAGTGTTTGGTTTAAATATAAGAAAACAAAGTCCTGAGGGAGAGGTTTTGAGAGTAAGGAAGACGATTACTCTCTGTGTGGAAGGCGGAGAGGAAGGAGAGGGTGTGGCGTGATGCAGCAGATCCAGCGGCAAGCGCTTACGTGTTAACACTTAAACTCTGAAGCTAAGTCTTCCTAACCGCCAGGTTTAATGTTCATGAGCATGTTTTACCGACACGACCTTTTCAAGATGTTGAAAAAGATGCCTCGGAAGCACAGGCTGGAGGCTGGAGCTAGCTGGTTCTGAGGAAGAGGTCTTTGAGGATTCTTTGATACAGCAAAGCAAAACAACACCTCCTGGGGACTGAACTAAGTTTTAATGTAGTCTTTAAGATTAGAAACCAAAAAAC